TTACACCAAGGAGACACAATTTCACCCAGTTGTAGTGATGTACACCTTTAATTCTAGCACTCAGGAGGCAGAGACAGGCAGATATCAGTTTGAGGCCAGCCTGGTCTACGTAGTGAATTCTAGGATGGCCAGAGCTACACACAGAAACCCTGTCTTGAAAAAGGAATAGTAAAGAAGAAGAAAAGAAGGGGAGAAGAGGAGGAGGAAGAGGAGGAAGAAGAATCAATTTCATAGCCATCTTCTCTGACTTTTGACACTCACAATCTTTCTGTCCCCTCTTCTGAGATGTTGTCCTGTCCCCCGAAGAGCTGAGAACTCCAGTCCATTTTTCTGTGCATTTTGGCTAGTTGTGAGTCTCTGTACCAACCACCATCCATTGGAATAAGCATCACCAATGAGAGGTGAGAGCTACAGGACTTAATTTTAACTGGCAGAAAGGAAATTCTCCAACAGACTCTAGAATTCTTTTTCTTTGCCAAGTCCTGCCTTGCATTTTTCAATCATAACTTAATCTGCTAAGTGGGCAATTCTCAGGCAGCCACCTTCTACCTTCCTCATTCTTTGTCAGCTTTGCTGACACATGTATCCCAAGGTGACCTCTATTCTCTCATGTTGGGGAATGATGGCAATCTGGGCACAGCACAACCGTCTCCATCTCTACCTTGCAAGAGAGATTGTTCTTCTGATCCACAGAATAACCTTGGCCCTATGTCACAACATATGCAGAACATACAGTGATAGCCAGGTCTTTGCTAATGATAATGGGGCACTTAATACTTCCTAGTAGAAGGTGGTTGAGAGTCAAGGAGGGTCTAGCCATTACTCTTTCCTGATGTTCCTCCCTCCTCCCAGCTGCATATGGTCTTGAGGGAATATGATAGCATAAGAGAAGTGGAAGGCTAACCAAAGGTGGGGTTTCATCTACACACCTTTCAGGAAGTCGTGACCTATACTGGATGGGAGGCAGCTCTTCTTATCATCTATATTCCAGAGAGTAAGCCCCAAACTCATTGGCTCACTAAGCTGAACTAAGACAGAAATCTTTCTTTTGTCTGTCACTGATTTGGAGTGAATCTCCATTTGTTCATATGCCCCCAGAAAAAGGAAAACAACATCCCAAACATAGAGACTTGCCTTACACACATTTATTGGGCATCGTTGTTTATTAGCTTATGTGCTTCTTGAGAATAAAATTGTATTTCTCCCATTAAAAATTTTGTAATTGGCATATATTTGCTGTGCATAGTACAGTTTCACAAGACCATGTTCCTGTAAATAAAGTACTTTGAGCACAACCTCCTCTTACACCTCACTCTTCCCTCCCCTTTCCATCTCTTGTAGTCCTATTTATTTCCAAAGACAATTTCAATTTTACTTTCACGTCAAGTATAGACACTTGATTTATGGCTGTATATAAAATCTAAGAACTACACATGAGGGAAAGAAAAGCATTTGTCTTTCTCCCTCTGGTTATTTTCACTATCTGGGATCTGTGCTTGTGAATAATTTTAGGAATTTGTTTCAGTTTCTGTAAAGAATGACATTGAAATTTTTTATGGGAATTGCACTGAATATATAGATACATTTTTGTTGGATAGCATTTTCGTATTTATTCTTCTAATGCATGTATATGAAAGGGGTTTTTATCTTCTTGTATTTTCTTCAGTTTTTTTTTCTTTGGCAATTTAAGGTCTTTATTATAGAGTCGTTCAATTCCTTCATTATGTTTTTTACATTTTTTAATTTCATTTCTGTTGATGTAACTAAGAATGGAGCTATTTGCCTGATTTATTTCTCAATGTATTGGTTATTGGTATAGAGGAAGGCTATTAGTTTTCTTATGTTTTACTTTTGTATCCAGCCACTTTGTTAAGTGTGTTTATTTTTGTAAGAATTTTCAGGTGGAGCCTTAATGGTCTCGTATAATGGGCACAGTTAGACTTTGTCCTTTCTTGTGTGCATTGTTATTTCCTTTTCTTGTCTTTCTGCTTGGCTGGGATCATATATACTAGACTGAATAGGAATAGAGAAAGTGGACATACCTGTCCTGTTTCTGATTTCTGTGAAAATGATTTGAGTTTTTCTCTATCGGGTTGGCTATAGATCTGTCATCTATACCCTTTTTCATACTTCTTCTATTTCTAGTTTCTGCAAGACCTTTAGCATCCATCATTTAAGTTTGGACTTGGTTAAAAGCTTTTCCTTTGTCCTTTGAGATGGCCATGTAATTTATTGCACTTATTGATTTGCAAATGTTTAATCATCCCTGAATCTTTGAGTGAAGTGAATTTGATCATGGTGAATGATCTTTTTGACATGTGCTTGGATTCAGTTTGCAAGTATTTTACTGAGAATGTTTGCATGGCAGTTACTCAATATTTTGTTGAATGAGTGACTAAGGATTGAAGTATCCAGGTGCCCAGGGCTCTGAAGAAGAAGACAGTGCTACTACTGACAGCCTTGGAAACAAGGCTGTGGAAGAAGACTCATTTCTATGCTTAGCCACTGCTAAGTCTTTTGGTTTATTTTTCTGGGAGGGGGTGGTTTTTAATAAGTAAAACCTTTAAGCCCAATTCAATGCCAGATTTTATAAGAAGGAACTTGGTGTGCTTTGACTAAAGGGTCAAAATTTTCCATGTTCATTTTCTCTCTTCATTGCCACTCAACGAAAGAAAGGGCATGGTCCTGTCTAAAGACCAGGTCAGGTCTCAGTTTCTGGACTGTTATTTGAGCCAAGATCCTCTAGATACTGCATCCCAGTTAGGTCTAGTCTAGTTGTAGAAAATACTGCTCTTTTCAAACCCATAGACGCCACACTCTTACCTACCAAGACTGTGGTGTCCCACAACTAAGTTTAGCTCACTCTCCTGACTTTTAAATAGTCAGCTGAACCACAGAGGAAATTATTACCCATGGTTTCCTAGATCTATGTAAGAAAGATGTTTCAAAACCCTCCTGCTATAAAATTATATTTGCTTGTCCCAACTCCTTCCCAGCTAGGGTCCAATCACCCTTTGCCTGCATATATTTTGCAATGTTTATTGGCTCTGCTCACTCCACTAGCATGCTCCCTGCATTTGGAACTGTAGCTAGCACTTGATTTAACTCACCTTCAACTTCCAGCTAATGAAAGGGGATTTAGAGTTGGCAATAGCAGATTCACAGGTGGTTCTTTATTACCTGTGATCAGAAAATAAGGAAGAGGACCCTGAGACTTTGGTGGGGAGGCTTCCCATTATAGATAGCCTTAGACTTGTATCAGAGTTTCGTAGCTCATGAGTGTTGTAGTCTTGCATGCCTACTTATAGTGAAAGCTGCTCCTATATCCTTAGAGTAGAACATCCAAATCATATTAAACAACGAATTTCCATAAGTCTAACTGTATCCAATATGAGTTAATGGACACGATGACCTTGTATCCTGTTGTTCTTGCAGTTAGAGTACTTTAAATAGTCAGTGGAAGCTGGATGTGGTGATTTTAGCTCCAGGGTGCAAGAGGCAGAGGTAGGCAGATCTCTGAGTGTTAAGTCTCAAACCCGGGACAAATACCCACCTAAGGTACCTACTTAACATCAAAGTAGACCTGGTCATCCCTCAGTTCCTCAGTCCCTACCTGTTAAGAGTATGGCTGGCATAATGTGCCCCTTGCCCTAAACTTCTCCAACCCAGGAGTTAGGTTCTCCTTCCCTATATAATCCAGACATTTTGTTACCAACCCCTTTTGGTCTACCCTTTACTCTCCTGGTCTCTTGGTGGGTAACTGCTCTACTCTCCTCACATGACCTGACTCAGGGTCATGTCTACTCTGGACTCTCCCAGATACCCCTGCCTCTGGATATGTTCTTCCTCAAGTCTACAAATCCTACCTAGGAACAGCCATCGACTTCCTTTGTATTTCTTCTTTCATTCACTGAGTTCAAGGACAGCCTGATGTACAGGGTGAGTTCTAGATAGCCATAGCTACATTGGAAAACCTGATCTCAAAAAACCTAAAGTAACTAACAAACAAGACAGTAGTGCTGCCACATACATATAACCCCAGGAGGACCATGAGTTTGTGGCTAACCTTGACTACAGAGTCGAGTTGGAGACCAGCCTGAGCTAAATAAATAATAAAATAACACTCTTTCAATTGTTTTTTAAAAGATAGGATGTTTGTTTTAATATGTCGATTTAGCAGTTTTTAACTTTGGCAACCCTGTATCAACTAGCAACTTTTACTAGTCATTAAAGGTGTAAGACTATGAGCCTCCCTCAAGTGGCCAGGCCAGGAGGAGTAGTCATTGGTTCCTGAAGTCACCACCCCAAAGTCACAGAGCTCCAAGGGCATCAGAAACTATACAGAGCCTATGAATATGCAGACAGCTTCTATAACAAATCCAAGCCAGGCATCCTCCTAAATACACCCACTTTACTAACCCTCAGCCAGGTCTGCAGTACTGTGAGCATGCTGGTCGTCTGTCCAGTACCATAGCTAGGGGAAAGATGATTAGGCTGGAGCAATGGCCATAAAGCAAGATTTAGCGAGTGCTTGGGACACTACTGAAGAAGATGCTGATAAAGTCAGATATATGGGAGCGGAGGGAGTGGAGAATACTTGTCTCTGGGAAGGTCATAACCATCTGTGAACCCTGGTGCTATTGTCCTACGAAGACGAAGGCGGGGCAAATGAAAGACAATAAAGCCTTCTACACCCGGGACACTAAGATCTGGTTAGAACTTTGCTAGGAAGAGGAAACTTTACACGCAGCCCGCGCTCCTCAGTCAGTCTGTACAGCCGGACGTTCCACCGTAGGAAATCGCCACCGCCCCTTGGCTTGGGTCCCCCAGCTCCTGATGAAACTGTGACCCTCCGTCCCCTTCCCAGATCCTGGACTCCAGCCAAGTCACTCACCGCACGGCTGCAGATCACGTGGCGGAGTGCCCCAAGCGTGGCTATTGGTCCGCCTCTCGCGTCCCGGGAGTGCTCATTGGCTGTGTCCGGTATTCATGTGTGGAGAGGGGAAGGCCTGGGATGGCTCTGTTAGTGGAGAAAGGTGGCTAGAAAGTTAAAGTGTGCCACCGCCTGCAGGAGCTGGAGTCCAGAGTGCTGCCGTCCAGGGAGCAGGTGAGAGGGCCGCCGAGTCCCTGCCCCACTTTTACCGTCATGGCCACTGCCACTGTCATCTCGCGCAGATGATGGGGTGGGTTGGAGGGTCTGCTCAAGTTACTCAAGAGCTGTACCCGGTACGTCCCTCCCCAAGCCTGGAGCTCAAGGAGCAGGGCGCGCGGGGGAGCCTCTCCCTCTAGTCTCTGACATTTGTCGTCCCACTTACAGTGACACGCAGGTGATAGAACACCCTAGCTGGGCTCGAATAGCTTGTCGCTTCCACGTGGTGAAACATCTCCAGGACCCGAGCTGGGATGGAGCCTAGAGGGGACCCCGAGATCCCCGCGCGAGATTAGCCAGGGGAAACATGTTCAGGGAACTTGTCCTAAACAAAAGATGTGGCAAGTCCTAACATGGCTCGTCCCCACCCTGTGATTTGACACTTCTGAAGGACAATTCCAGGTTTTTGCGGCGGAATCTGGAGTCCAAATACAAGTCGCCGAGGCCTCAGTTTCCCGATAGAAAACTGTGGCCAAGCCCTGACTCCATCAAGTTGTGTGGACTTGTCCCTACTTTGGTTCAGATCACCCTTTGCTGCAAGCAAGCAAGGGCACACCTTGGGTAGTCTCTGGTCTCCGAAGGCCACAGGCTTGGGATGAGCTCCACCCGGGAACGCGCGGGGGTGCTCGCGAGGCGCTGCTCCGGCCTGGGCTGTCCTGTCGTCAAGTCCCGCCCTGGGGTGATAACTTGGGCTCCTCCTCCTTGGTCGTCTCCGGGAACTAAGCCCAGGCCCTACCTCCGGGACACTCGGACGCTCACGTAATTCAGGGGCAGTAGTCACCCCTGCCACATCTCTCAGGCTCTCCCATGAGGCCAGCGAGCAGGGGCCCGGGCTTCGGCGCCGGCACCGCGGGAGAGGTAAGTGCAGACCAAGGCTCAGCGGGGAGATTGGGGGCGGGGTGCAAGAACATCACCATCTGGCTAGTAGGAATGGGGACCTGCCCTCAAGGATCTGTTCGCAGACACTGTTTTGAACCCAGAGAAAAGGCTATGAACCTAACTGTAGTCTCAGAACAGAGCGTGGCAGACCCAGAGAGAAACAGAACAAACAAAAAGTTTAAAAAAAGAAAAAGAAAAAAGAAAAAGACTTGAAAGAACCCGTAGAGTTGCTGGAAGGTGGCTGGAAGGTCCATGAAGAAAAAAAAAAAGGGGGGGGGGCTTCTTCCGCCTAGATAGGAAAGGATGGTTCATTTGACAAAGACCTCCAGGAGCCAGAGAGAAAGTGAAGACAACAGAAGGACCGCAGAAGTAGACTGGGGCCCGTTTAGGGGAGAGTTAGTAGAAACAGAGACATCAGAGTGCTGTTAGCAACCCAGGAGGTCAGACCTGGAAGGCATCTCAGAAGGGACCCTCGAGGCCAGAGAGAGGACTTATTACAGTTCAGCTGGGCAGGGGCTTTCTTAGGCCAGTGCTCCGTGGTGCCTTTGGACATAATTACATGGTGAGGACTGTCTCAAAGTTATTAGATGCCTCATTACACAGCTCTATTCACAAATGTTTATCTCCAAGGACTGAGGGGTACGAATTAAGTGTAATAATTAGGGTCTGTGTACAAAAGGGAGCCGATGTCAACTTTTTACATGTAAAAGAACCAGTTAAACATTTGTGGAAGAGAAAAGAGAATTGCTGGAGGGGGGAGGATTGGATGGTGGTGTCCAGTCTAACCTGGCTGGGGATATTTACCTAATGTATTGTTGCTGGTCGGCTAGTGTTAATCTGGTTTTCATGTCAGAGAGGAAGAGGTGCCAAAGAAAGGCACAACCAGAATGCAGTGGCTCAACTGCCTGAAAAAGGGAAGGTCATGGGGTTTTTTCTGTCCAGGCTTGTCAAAGTCAGTAAAAAGAAATATCACTGGACTCCTAAGACTGCCCAGTATCTTGAGTGATCACATTATTTCGCAAGAACAGGGAAGGGATGCAAGGGTCCCAAACATGGCCCAATCCCTCATCAGAGGTAGTTAACCTCTGAGGCACCCACATGAAAGCAGAGTGTGTGACTGTCCTCGAGAAACAGCTCGTACTCCCAAGATCCTGTCCTGCAACTAGTGCCCCAGATTCCATGTCACACTGTACCTCATGTACAAAAGTACCTCCATGTTTCTGTTTCTGCTTACTCCCCAGCCAGGGTCTGGGAATACGGGTAGACAGCTGAGGTACATCCGAGCGTGTGTGTGGGTGTGTATGTTTTCCCTGGATCACCTGTCCAGTGCTTCCCTTAGAGGACTTGACTATTGCCTGACTGTCTCAGTTGCCATTGTCACCTCACAGTCATCAGGAAAGCTAAACTCAAACAAGCACTTTGGTACACCGATTCTTGGATGAGAGTCAGGTTAATAAAAGCCAGAATGTTCTGTCAGGACAGCTTTCACATCAAACCCTTAGGAGTACAGTGATATTTCTTTTAATTGACTTTGACAAGCCTGGACACAAGGGTAAATGTCCTTAAGCTGTAGTGATGGCGACACCCAGAAAAAAATGAAGAGTTTCTAAGCCAGGCCTGCTTATGCAATTTCACAGGGCAGAGTCCCAGAAAACTCCTGGCCCATCATAACCTCACGTTTGCCTTTCATGGAAGAACCTTGCAAAGAAAGCACATTTTACTCTTGAAAATGTTAGTTGGATATACTCCTTAGTCTTGGCTCTGATTAGAAACATCTCTCCAACCTCAATTCTTCTTGTTCTTACAGTTTGCTGCTAAAGGGAGTCCTGTGGCACATTTCCATCCTGGAGTCCAACAGTACAACTTCCCCAATAGTGCCAGCTCCTCTCTCAAACCCTCAGGACTAGAACCCAGGAGAGTGCTTTTCCTGGTTGCAAAGAGTGGAGTCTTTAGTTATCTCTTTGGTATTCTGCTTCCACAGTAGCGTGGCAATTTTGCACCATTTCCCATCAAGCTGCTTCCAAAACTTTCAGGAAAGTGTGTCTGAGGCTGGTCCTAGAGTTCCTTGGACTTGCAGAGGGACATTTGGCCCTGTGCTGACTCAAGGCAGGAGGAAGTACCTAGCAGAGGAGGAACTTCTACTCCCCCATTCACTCCCAGCTTTTAAAGGGTGGGCTGTGGGGAAGCACAGGAATGTGGGGCATGTGCTTTTTTTTTTTCTTTATGCGCACTTAAACGGTACAAAACATACCTGGGTTAAAGTTGAAGTTGAAACAGAAGGAAAATTTGTAATAAAATTTTGAAGCGGGCCTGGAAGAACTTATACTCAAATAACTTAAGTAATAAGTGATTTAAAAAAAAAAAAAAAAAAAAAAAAAAAAGCTCACTGATCATTTGCAAAGCCAGTTTAGTCCAAATTTTGCTTTCTAGGAATAGTCTTGTGCTTAGACATGAGATCAGACCCAGCAAATTTGCTCTGAAACTTTCCACTGGATTACTTCCTTCACTAGATGGGAAGTAGTGAGACGGTTTTGTGGGTACAAGAAGCCCTTAGCCATGGCCACTTGAAAAAGTGCCCAGCTTCATAGGAAAAATAGGATAGCAGGCTTCTTGCATCCACAAAACCAATGTAACAACAACAATGAAAACCAATAAAGAGAGAACCTAATATATCTTTGTTCTCCCTCTCCCTCCTCCTTCCCTCCCTTCCTCCCTCTGTCTGTCTCTCTGTCTCTCTGTCTCTCTCTCTCTAGCTCTGGCTATCCTGTAACTAGCTCTTTAGAACAGGCTGGCTCTAAACTCAGAGGTGTGTCTGCCTCTGCCTCTGCCTCTCAAGTAAGTGCTGGGACCAAAGACATAGGCCACCACTGTCTGGCAATCTTTTTTCCCATTATACATTTGGTTAATCAGATTCAGAAGTTGAAAGAAAGAGTATTTATTGAGTCAAATGCATGGTCCTTTAGCACTTGCCAATAGATGAGCAACTTGTCAAAAGATGTCACTTTTCAGGCAGCCATGGTAACCTGTGAGCAAGGCCCCTCCCTGCCACAGATACTTTACCTGCCTCATCCCTTCACATTAACCAGAAGAAAGCAGCTGTTCGGAATCTAAAGTCTTGAGTTTGAGATTGCAATCCAGGTTTCATTACTCACTACTTTAGTCAGACCATTGTTAAGTGTCATAAATCTGCCATCATAAGGAGAACTATAAAAGGGTGTGCATGGCTTTAGTGAGGTAAGTGTCAGGGTGGTTTTGCATGTTTTCTTAAGGTTCATTTTTTCCCCCCATTATAGAAGCAGTATTGTTTGAGAAGATATAAGGAAACACACAACAGGAAACAACTTTAAGGAAATATGTCACATGCATAGTCTGACATTTTTAACCATAAAATGGTCCCAGCTATCTACAGGTGATGATGCATTACAAGGTTCCCAGGCAGCCCCATTTCCCTGCATGTTCTCTACTCCCTGCAGCCCTGTTCTACAGTTCCACAGGTCGTCTGTCTTTCCATGCTTGATACCCGATTACCTCATTTATATCATTGCTTTTGCACTTTGGGGTCATTATTAAGTAAAATAAAGTTACCTTACAACAACAACATTGTAATGATGCAACGGTCTGATACTTGAGATGGCTCTAAGTCCCCGGTGGCCAGGTGAGGTGGCATATATATCATGGTTATATCGGTTAAGGGATGATTGGCTTTCTAGGAGGAAGCAGGTCTCCTCCAGGTGGGATGACCTCATGTAGCTCAGAATGAATGGTATACAATTGGAAGAATCGCTTACTTGCGGGATTTTCATTTTAATATTGTTGAACCACAACTGATTGTAAAGAGATGAAACCATCTCTGGCTAGCCTGGTCTACATATCTATTTCCAGGTCAATCAGCATTATGTAGTGAGACACTGTCTCAAAAAATAAAAATAAAATGTTCAAAATAAAAATATTTTTCATGCTTCTTAAATACTTTTGCAAACAATTAAATTAGTTTTATATCATTACATAATATGGATATGATACAATTGATTTTATGAGGCATCCTTAGTAGGCATTCTTATTATTTCTCTTCTTGTTAATTTCTATACATTTTAATTACTTGTTTAGGGTAAATATATTGTATGTGAAATTGGAATGGAAATGATAAGAACAATTAGAAAGAGCTTACCAATTTTGATGATAAAAATGTCTTTTAAATGTTTTTTATAGGTCTCTGGACATTTCTCTATAGTTAGTTTTCTCTTCAAACCTATAATGGCTCCCTCTTTTATGGTATCTCTCTTTTTTTTTTTTTTCTTTTTTTGGCCCTCATCTATAGCTCCCCTGACTCAATCTTCCTAGTCCTCCCTTTCTCTTTCTCCTAGCTCCCTCTCTACTCACTGCCCCCCAATATGTTCAGGAGATCTTGTTCCTTTCCCCTTCTGTAAGGGACTTTGTATGAATCTCTTAGATTCCTCCTTGTATCCTAGTTTCTCTGGCGGTGTGAATTATAGGCTGGTGATCCTTTTCTCTATGTCTCTACGTCTCTATGTCTAAAATCCATATATGAGTGAGTACATACCATGTTTCTCTTTTTGTGACTGGGTTGCCACACTAAAGATGGTTTCTTCGAGTTCCATCCATTTGCTACGAATTTCAAGATTCCTTTGTTTTTTTTTTTTCCGATGAGTAGTATTTCATTGTGTAAATGTGCCACATTTTCTTTATCCATCCTTCAGTTGAGGGGCATCTAGGTTGCTTCCAGGTTCTTGCTATTACAAATAATGCTGCTATGAACATAGTTGAACAGATGGATGACCTGACCCCAACTAACAATCTGAGCAAGAGTGGAAAGGCTACCTTAAATGTCCTTCCCTGATGATGAGATTGATAACTAACTTATCTGCCATCATAGAGCCCTCATCTAGTAGCTGATGGAAACAGAAGCAAACACTCACAGCTAAACACTGAGGGGAACTCCTGAAATCCAGATGCAGAGAGGGAGGAGTGAGAAGAAAATGGGGACAAGACCAGGCTAAGAGACCACAGAGACAGCTGACCTGAACAAGGGGGAGCTAATGGACCCCAGACTAATAGCTGGGAAACCAGCATTACCCCAACTCAGATCCCCTGAACATGGGCCTGGGCAGTCTAAGGGACCTCTGACAGTGGAACCAGGATGTACCCTTGGTGCATGAAAGGACTTTGGGAGCACATTCCCCATAGAGGGATACTCCCCTAACCTAGAGGCAGGAGGGAGGGCCTAGTCCCTACTCCAAATGACTTGACAGATTTTGTTGATCCCTCCTGGAAGACATTACCCTACCTGTGGAGTGGGGGGGTGGGGGTGGGGGCATGGGAGGGAGAGGAAACTAGGATCAATATGTAAAATGGGGGGGGGGATTTTTATAGCTGAGCAGTGGTGGCACATGCCTTTAATTCCAGCACTTGGGAGGTAGAGGGAGGCTGGACTCAGTCAGATCAAGGCCATCATGGTCCACAGAGTGAGTTCTAGGACAGCCAGTTCTGTGTGGCTAATTAATTATAGACAGAATTTCACTATACAACTCAGGCAGTCATTGAACTTGCAGTCTCCTTCCATAGCTAAGGTTACAAGTGTGCACCATCACATTCAATTTTCGTTTGCATGTTTGTATGCCCCTTTTACATTTCTTTCTTTTTCTTTTCCTTTTTTTTTTTTTTTTTTTTTTTTTTTTTTTTTTTTTTTGCGGAGGGACGGCAGGATGGATTTTTCAAGTCAGGGTTCTCTGTGTAGCTTTAGTACCTGTCCTGGTATTCTTCTTTGTAGACCAGGCTGGCCTGGAACTCACAGAGATCTACCTGCCTCTGCCTTCCAAGTGCTGGGATTAAAGGCATTCGCCACCACCAGGCTTCTTACATGGTTTGAACTAAGCTAATATTTAATGTGATCACATTTTCACATTTTTTTTTTTTGAGATAAAGTTTCTCTGTGTATTCCTGGCTATCCTGGTACTCTGTAGACCATGCTGTCCTCTAACTCAGAGATCCACCTGCCTCTGCATCACAAGTGCTGGAACTTGAAAGTGTGTGCCACCACCACCAACGCCACTTCCCAGTGCTTCTAATCCTTATGACAACTGTTATCACCTGCATACAAAGCAAATATCTATTTGTATGTCAGAGTAAAAACAAATAAACTGATCATTCTTATTCTAAAGAAATGTATACTAGAACATAAAAAAATCCTTCCATAAGTTCCGTGAAAATAAGTCTATGTCCATTCTCATCACTGAATCCCAGTGTATAATGCATAATGCCTGATGCATGGTAAACACCAAGTCAATATTTGTGTTATAAATGAGATGCTTTTTTATTAAGTCAGTATTTACTATTAAAACCATAAGGCACTCATACTTTATACCTGTTAAAATGGTTACCTTGCAAAAAAGAAGAAAGTAGTAGAAATGCAAATTAATGCAACTACTACAAAAATACTGTGGTATTATCTCAAAAAAATTAAAAATTCAAATATGTGATCCAGCCATTCTGCTGGGGTGTATATTCAAAGGATAGGAAATCAGTACATTTGAAGTGATGTTCATAGTTCCATATGCATGTAACACTACTCATAGCTAAGATATGAGCTCTAAGTGTCTCTCAGTGAATGAATGGACAAAGAACATGTGGTATGTATGCACAGTGGAGAGCTGTTCATAGAGGCAAGAATGAAATGATGTCATTGTAGAAACATGGAGGTGAGTCCAGAGGGCATTGTGCTAAGTGCAATAAGCCAATCACAGAAAGACAAATGCACATATCCATGTCAAATCTAAAAATGGAAAGACACTGAATGTGTAATAGGATGGTGGCTGCAATAGTTAATAACAATGTATACTTGAAAATTGCTTAGAGTAGATGTTAAATATCCCCACCCCTCAAATATATAAGTGTGTTAGCCATTCCACGGTGTGTACATACAATTTTATTGCATTTATTTATCTAGTATGGGTACAGGTGTGCCTGGTGAATGTTTAAAATTAAAAGGACAACTGTGGGAACTGGTTCACTCTATCTATGTGGGTTCAAGGGATTGAAGAGATGTTGTGAGACTTGGTGGCAAATACCTTTATTCGCTGAGCCATTTCATCAACCTTGAAATAGAAACAATTATTTGTCAAAAAATAGTCTGCATTGTTTACCAATTAGAATAATCAGATCACCTATTTGTGGGTTATATACTCTACTAAAGGGGGAGGACTCTTTTAGTAAAATAAATGAGTAATTCTGCAAACAATAGGAAACCATAATTCTTATTGCTCTTCTCATTCACCTCTGTGGTGTATTAGCATCCAGGAGGACCCAAAACATCCCAGCTCATGAATTAGCCTTGAAACTATTGAGCTCTGCGTTCTTTCCTTTGTTGGTTTTAATTTTAGCTTCTCTTTCTATCTGCCTACCAACCCTGCCCCCCAAACTTGCCTGAAACCTGTGTCCTGTGAGACCACATGGGAGTGTGAATCCAGATGAAAGGCAACATTGTTTGCCAGTCTCTGTCAGAATGAGGGCTTGAACATCTCGGTGACCTCTTTACTGTTTTCTCTCTTCTCCCTTTTGACAGACTTCTAGCCTGCTCGTCTAGCCCTGTGATGGCTGTGGACATAGAGTACAGCTACAGCAGCATGGCCCCTTCTCTGCGCAGGGAGCGCTTCACCTTCAAGATTTCCCCAAAGCTGAACAAGCCGCTGAGACCTTGTATTCAGCTGGGCAGCAAGGATGAAGCCAGTGGAATGGTGGCACCAACTGTGCAGGAGAAGAAGGTGAAGAAACGGGTGTCCTTCGCTGACAATCAGGGGCTGGCCCTGACAATGGTCAAAGTGTTCTCCGAATTTGATGACCCATTAGATATTCCGTTTAACATCACCGAGCTGCTAGACAACATCGTGAGTCTGACGACAGCAGAAAGCGACAGCTTTGTTTTGGATTTCCCACAGCCTTCTGCTGATTACTTAGACTTCAGAAATCAACTTCAGACCAACCATGTCTGCCTTGAAAATTGTGTGCTCAAGGACAAAGCCGTCGCAGGCACTGTGAAGGTCCAAAATCTGGCATTCGAGAAGGTTGTGAAGATCAGAATGACATTTGACACCTGGAAAAGCTTCACAGATTTCCCTTGTCAGTATGTGAAGGACACTTATGCTGGTTCAGACAGGGACACATTCTCCTTTGACATCAGCCTACCTGAGAAAATTCAGTCTTATGAAAGAATAGAGTTTGCCGTGTGCTATGAGTGTAATGGCCAGGAGTACTGGGACAGCAACAAAGGCAAAAACTACAGGATCATCCGGGCTGAACTCCGATCCACTCAGGGAATGATTGAGCCATACAATGGACCAGATTTTGGAATATCCTTTGACCAGTTTGGAAGTCCTCGGTGTTCCTATGGCCTGTTTCCAGAGTGGCCTAGTTACCTGGGATATGAAAAGCTGGGTCCCTACTACTAATGACTGCAGTTGGCAGTCTGACTCTGATCAAGATGGAGCAGAGAAGGCAAGACAAGAGTGAAGTTGAACTGCCATTTGGCATGGTTTTTGAAAAGCAAAGATCCTGTTCACCTTTTCATAAACCAGCAAGTCCAGCACGTTTGCATCACAGCCTGTTTCTTGCTCAGAGAAGAGCAGGTGTGCTGGTCCTCTGTGGCATCCGGGTTGGCTACAGAGGAATGCACAGGAAGGTGCCAGGATGGTCTGGAGAGGAGCCAAGCTGGCAAGAACGGAGGAAGCTGGCCTCTCCTCCACCCTTGGATATGGAAAGTCAGTCACCCAGAAGCCAGCCTTCTCCAGCCTTACCACTGACCTCTGGGTCCTGTACCACCTACACTTTTCCGCGTGTTGCCTTCATCCCACACGTCCTGGGAGCCACCTTTGTCTCAGCTCCATGAAACACTGGCCTGCTACCCTGAAGCTTCAGAAGAGTGATGGAGGCAGCCCCTCTCTACACAAGCCCATGCTCTACATTTATTCTCCCACACAGCCCATCCAATAATTCAGACGAGATTAAGCAAATAAGTAGTTTGGGCTGATACAGGCATTCCTCTCCACTCCTCCTAACCCCTCCTTTATATTCCAACAGAGAGCAACGCGACAGTTACTAGAAAGTCATTGATCTCCATGGAGTCATGGGCCACAACATTTTGACAAGGTGGAACAATCCTAAGTTTTAGCTTTTCCTCTTGGCTTTGGGGGTGGGTGCTTACTAAGCACTCATTTTCACCCCACAAACTACCAGAAGACTCAATGACTAGATCTGTCTTCACTTGCCTGGCTGGTGTGTGAGCTGCTTTGGTTATGGGAGAACCATAGCTCTCCCTCTCTTCAGTGCTGCATCTCAGACTTCCAAATGGCATCGCTGGCATATCCTGGAAGTCTCCAGAAAATACTTAGCTTTCTTTGCAGTATACAGTCATATTCCAGATGCTTCCCAAGCATCCAAGGACATTGATTGGGAACTTTTATTTATGGTGTGTATTGTAGGAGAGGAGAGGACCTCACTGGGTTTTACTTATACTTTAAATGTTTGTCAACTCTGAGGACTCAGAGATGAATTCTTTTCTTAACCATATTGGACTGCAGTGCATTATCAAGTAGTAATTTAGACTCCTGGAACAAGGTTTCTGTTGGAGGGACCCCCACAACCTGTGATTTTCTCTTGGGCAAATTAAAATTATAGGGGAGTTTGAAAACTATTTTTACATGCATATTTGTAGAACTCTAGGGGCGTTTTGTTTTTTGTTTTTTTTTTTTTTTTAAGATTGGTAAATGTCTATTTTCTTACTGAAGCGAGGTTTCCTTGAGGCAACAAGGAAAGAGGTGTACAGCTTCATGGATTTGCCGAGGGGCGGGGACAGGGGTGGGGGAGGGTGGGTGGGGGTGGCTGGACAGTGATCCTGTGCCCCTCTGGCTTCAAAAGTTAGCAGCAAGCGGTATCAAATGCTTTTGATCTTAGCATGTATGGTTTCTTTTTCATCTTTTTTTTTCCACTTTTTAAGTTTAAAGTGTTTTGACTTTTTAAGTGCTATTTTGTCTGATTTTTCTTATTCCTAAAGCTGGTACTGGTCTGTAATCTGTGCTTTGTATTTTGTGGCTCTCCCAGATGGGTAGCACTTTGGGATTGCACACTGCTATCTACGGGGAAATCATAACCGTAAGTCAGCTGAAATCAGGTGGGGTTGTGTGTTATCTAACCATACCATATATCTGCTAGATGGGTGTACTCTAAGTGTTCTTGTTATGGTGACTGGAGATGCTAGATTTAAATTGGACCCAAGCAAAACTGATCTCTTATGGGTCATATGATTTATCCTGTACTGAGAAGTATTCTTTCCCCGATGTGGTAAGGCTGCCAGATGCACTGTTACTCACAGAGTAGCAGACTAAAGGTGGGTTTCAAAAAAAAAAAAAAAAAGAAAGAAAGAAAGAAAGAAAAAATCCCCAAGTAACTATAAAATGAAGTCTGTTCAGCAGTGTGGAATGATAAACTTCAGACATTCCATGTCAAAAATAAGAAATATGGTAATTCCACATTATGTATACCTCCTGAAGCAGCCATAAACCCCGCCCTATTTTACGCAGATTTGCCCCTCAGCTTTCTCGCTGGGGGCACTGATTGAGAGCCCTGAGCCAGCACACCTGGGATGCACACCCCAACACTCAGCCCAAAGGACATGTCTTCACCTGCTTGCCAAGACCCTTCCCACTGAACCAGCCTGTGTGCTTGACATCCCTCATTAGGGCTGTCACTCACTGAGACACTGAAGAATCTTTCTTCTGTTTTTCTGTCTCCAACACAGTCCTCTGCCTTTTGACCCAGTCTGTCCCATGTCTCTGAGATAGCCTCAGGAGCTGCCTTGAGGGGCTCTATGCTTCATTCATAGTTCACCATTGTAAACAAACTTACACACCTCAGAATATCCCACTGAAAGCTTGACCTGGGGATCTACCTTCAGAAAATGCTTGGTTGTGGTGATGATTGGACCCTAATCCCAGCGTCCATTCCAGACACTATAATCCAGGAAGGGAAGGCAACTCCATTTTTGTTTCATACTTATTTTCCCAAATCCCATGGGGTGCTTTTGCAAAATGGCTACAATAAATGATAAGCTGGGCTATAAAAGGTTGTATGATAAAAGTTTTCCTTGTTTCTTGCAAGAAGCATTTGAGTGATGTAAGAATTTTTTATAGGAAAGCTAGTAAGAAATAATGGGAGACTGTTGTTTCTCCAGAAACTATAGCAACTTGAGTCAATGGTTGGAGTTGTTTTATCCCTTAGATGTAAGCTGGGTTACTCTTTGCTCTGGGAAGGTCTTCACTTAACTGTAAGTCCTAGCACGATCTCAGAAACTGGAGATAAGATGTTCCAGAAATCGTGGGATCTTCCAGAGACAATTTGGCAGTGTTCCTGAAGTGGAGAACAAGAAATAAAGGAGGAGGAGTTTCTCCTGCTGAAGGCTGTGAGGAACCCCAGCTCAACCTGCAAAGCAGTGAATATTTCCATGGTTTTGCTGCTTGTGCCCAGAGACCCCTGGGGCATAGACTTCTAGACTATACATGTGATGATGTTACACCTTTGCTTTAATGTGAATATTCAACTGACGACTTGTCATCATTTTGTGCCTGAAAGTGCCTTGTCCAAAAACTTCTGCATGTTTTTAAGAAATATTTTTGTACACAATGGTAAAGGGGAAATGCACTTTAAAGAAAAAAAAATCACAAGAATGGCTGGGTTTTTTTTGTGTGTGTGATGGAAGAGAATGGATTAAAAGCAAATATGTAATAAATACCGAAAAAAAAAAAAACCCTGAAACTATCCTTTTATTTTTACCATCTGAGGAAGAGGAGCCATATTTTAAGTCCATAGGTTTTATTTTGTTTTCTGTACACATCTTGCTTTTTTTTATTTTTACTTTTTAAGTTATGTGGTGTATTCAGTGAATATGGGAAAGCTGAAAGGCTTGCAGGAGGAGACAGGGCCCTCGCTTCAGGCTGCCTAGCAGTGAAGGCCGGTGATAGCCTTCATCACCCATAGACAAGCAGGGAAGAGGAACAGGGGTGACTATTGTCCTCTGCCCATCTTAGTCACCCAAGGTTATGCTTCTTCCTTCCCACACTCCTTGAAGGGTAGAGTGGACAAACGTGTGGATTCTGACAGTCATGGGTAAACTACCTGTGGCTGTCACAACTTTGAACTGCTTGATCACACAGACTGAGTATCCAGGAAAATAAGCCGTCTTCTGCTGTGACCTCCCCTCTCCCATTGAATTGCAAGCACTCCCCACCCACAAATGAGATGTTCAGGAAGTTCAATAGAAAGGATGGAGGATAAAAAAGGATAGGGGTAAAGTGCCTGCAGCCCTCAGCCTCCCTGGGGAAAGCCCATGGAACGGTAGCATGGGCAGAAATTGTACAGCTAGTGTGCAGATGCAGCCATGAGCTCCTCTATAGCTGCTGTGGCTTGAATGGGAAATGTTTTCCAGACTGGTCCACAGTAGGCGGTGCTATTTGGGGAGATGCTAGGAAGTTTAAAAGGTGCAACTTGGTTGGAGGAGGTAAATCTGGGGAAGGGTGCCTTTGGGCACACCTTCCCATCTCTCCCCCACTTTCCTGGATGCTGTGAAGTGAGATACTGGAGACCCCCCACACACATACACATGCACACCTTTTTTCACCATGGTGTTCTGACTCTCCAAAGGACCATGGCAGTAGAATAAACTGGCCATGGACCTAAAGAAATCTTTCTTGCTTTTCCAGTTCCTCTCCCAGACATTTGTCACAGCAGTCTGAACCTAGATACCTTTCTCAAACAATTTCAACTCTGCCCACAGCTGCCATTGCAGAAGTGGAAAGACAGTTGATACTGCTTGTCACAAATATGAAATTCAGTAGAGTTTTACAATCATGAATTGAGCATCTTACCTCTAAGATGATGGTAAAAACAGGAAGTAAAAAAGAAACAATATCCCAAGAATCGCAAGTGCCCAACTCTGAACCTGTCATCCGGCTTCACGCAAAGCAGGACACAGTAGTTTTTCAAGCACTGCACAGTGTGTGTTGTGTTCCTACATGAATGCTCTGAGACTACTCGGGTGGACATAAAAGACGGCGCAGGCCAGAGTCTGAGTCCTGTCGTTCTCTGTTTTGTTTTTAGACCGTTTCTCTGGGTCCTGGGTGTCCCACGATTCACTATAGACCCAGCTGGTCTGGAATTTAGCAATCTGCTGCCTCTGCCTTCCAACTGCTTTGATTAAAGGTGTGTGACACCACACTCAGCTCTGAGTTCTATCCTAATCTAAGCGAGCTGACCTCCCAGGCCTCCTATACCTGGGCAACGGCCCTACTGAAGTTAACACAGATAACTGAGTAATAAAGAAAGTAAGAGCCTTTAGTATTTTATATAAGCCCACATGGGTTTTTTTGAAGACTTCTACTACAGAGTCCTGTAAGAAGGACTATGAATCATGGGGTGGACAATACTCTTGGACATTACTGAACTCTATCATCATTGTTCAAGCTGCAGAGAACAGTCTAGGGTCTAGAGCAGTGGTTCTCAACCTTCCCAATGCTATGATCCTTTGAGGTGACCACCCCCAACCATTACATTATTTCATTGCTAATAGATAACTGTAATTTTGCTACTGTCATGAATCATAGTGTAAATATCTGGAATTCAGGATATCTGATATATGAACCCCCCCCCAGGGGTCGTGACCCTGGGAATCATTGGTCTATAGGGAAAGAGATGAAGGCTGTGTAACATTCCCTTGCCTTTCAGGGCCCACTAAGAAGAAGACATGCTTGTTTGTTTTTGCTGTCTCCGATTCCCTTGAACAAGTCAGTTACACAGAACTGAGAGGAAACTGGCAATATGAATAGCAGGGCTTCATGGTGGAGGCTGCTCCAGTCCCAGGGTGGGAGGAAACATCTTTCCCAAGGACTCCCTCTGTTTGTGCTAGGCCCACAGACTAGTAAGCATAAAAGGTAGTAGGAAATGTGTATGTCTTTAATGACTTCATGGGACACCAGAATGTAACTGAAAGACAGAAACAACTGATGAGGCCTGTGGTTACCAAGGTTCCAAGAGACTAGTGGAAGTCTTGGCTTTCATATTCCCCACCCTAAAATTTTTATTGTAGCTGTCTTAGTTATGGTTTATGTTGCTGTAAAACGACACCATGACCACAGCAGCTCTTATAAAGGAAGGCATTTAACTGGGGTTGGCTTACAGTTCAGAGGTTTAGTCCATTGTCATCAAGGTGGGAAGCACGGTGGTGTGCAGGCAGAGATGGTGCTGGAGAAGGAGCTGAGAGTCTGCATCTGGATTGGCAGGCATCAAGAGAAGAGAATGACACTGGGCCTGGGTTGACCTCAAAGCCCACCCGCTGTGACGCACTTCTACCGTCAAAGTCACACCTTCTCCAACAAGGCCTCACCTCCAAATAGTGCCCCTCCCTGTGGGCCTATGGGGACCATTTTCATTCAAACCACCATGATAGTGTAGCACAGGAAAGCCTTGGCCAAACTCCATTCTTCTTCTCTGTCACCATCCTCGGAGCAGGAGAGCAAAGGATGTTGAATGTATAACTCAGGCTGTCCCCAGGGAATTGGCAAACTCCGTGCTTGTGTTGAAATCATTCTACAAACACTAATATGCCTCCCTCAGGATGGATCTTAGATTTGACAGAGGTTAGAC